TGGGGTGACACGGACGTGGCTTACCAGTTGGGACACTGGCAGAGCCTCTGCAGCCTGAGTTCTGGTTTTTCAGCCACACGGAAGGCCCGGCACCCTCCGATGGTTCCAGGAGGCAGCCCAGAGTCCAGCTTTGGGGTCACCCAGGAGAGCGGGCCTGGCCAGTGTCACTGCACTTCTGGCTGGCCTGGGCTTGCGGTGCCCAGCCGATGTTTCAGCCTCCTTATCCCTCCCCCCACCCCTCTCTACCTGTCCTGCGAGTCCCCGGGGAGGTGACTCCCACCATCCTTAGTCCCTTATCTGCTAGTTGGGTGTATCAGTGCCACCCCCAGGACTCCACAAGGCCTCAGCGAGACGGTGCCAGCCACAGACCCGAGAGTGGCCACGGGCGAGCTGGGAGGGGGCATTGGGGTGGAGAGGGACGGTCAGGTCTCTGGAAGCCATCGTGGTATCGACAGACGGCGTCTGGGCTCACAGGGCCGCCTGCCCGTTGCCCCCACGGCAGCTGTCCTGCTGCTCCTTCCTCACTGGGCTTGTTTTCCAAACAATTTGCTTAATGTGATTCCCAGCCCAGTTGAACATGAGTAATCATGTTTACCTGGCGCCATGGGGTAATCCTGCGCCTCCTGGGCCAGTGGGGCCGGGTGCAGGGGAGACACCCTCCTGGTCAGTCGCTCCGTGTCCTTCATTCTCTTGCAGTGGATGCGCCCGGCGCTCCCGCTCACCCTGCCCTGCCCGCAGCGGCCACGATGGAGCCTCTGTTCCCGGCCTCCCCACTGACCAGCTGGAATGCCTCCTCGGCAGCCACAGGCAGAGGCGGCGAGAATGGGACGCTGGCGGGGCTGGTGCCCTCACCGGGCGCCCGGGCGGTGGTGGTGCCTGTGCTCTACCTGCTGGTGTGCACGGTGGGGCTGGGCGGCAATGCGCTGGTCATCTACGTGGTACTGCGCCACGCCAAGATGAAGACGGTCACCAACATCTACATCCTCAACCTGGCCGTGGCCGACGTGCTCCTCATGCTGGGGCTGCCCTTCGTGGCCACGCAGAACGCCATCTCCTACTGGCCCTTTGGCCCCGTGCTCTGCCGCCTGGTCATGACGCTGGACGGCATCAACCAGTTCACCAGCATCTTCTGCCTGACCGTCATGAGCGTGGACCGCTACCTGGCTGTGGTCCACCCCATCCGCTCCGCCCGCTGGCGCCGCCCTCGGGTGGCCAAGCTGGCCAGCGCCACGGTCTGGGCCTTTTCTCTGGTCATGTCACTGCCGCTGGTGGTGTTTGCAGACATCCAGGAGGGGTGGAACACCTGCAACCTCAGCTGGCCAGAGCCTGTGGGCCTGTGGGGCGCCATCTTCATCATCTACACGTCCGTGCTCGGCTTCTTTGGGCCGCTGCTGGTCATCTGCCTGTGCTACCTGCTCATCGTGGTGAAGCTGAAGGCGTCGGGCATGCGCGTGGGCTCCACGCGGCGGCGCTCAGAGCGCAAGGTGACCCGCATGGTGGTGGTGGTGGTGCTGGTGTTCGTGGGCTGCTGGCTGCCCTTTTTCATCGTCAACATCGTCAACCTGGCCTTTGTGCTGCCCGAGGAGCCCGCCTCCGCCGGCGCCTACTTCTTTGTGGTCGTGCTGTCCTATGCCAACAGCTGCGCCAACCCCTTGCTCTACGGCTTCCTCTCTGACAACTTCCGCCAGAGCTTCCGGAAGGTTCTGTGCCTCCGCAAGAGCTATGGCACTGAGGACGCGGATGCCACAGAGCCACGGCCGGGCCAGAGCAGCCGGCTGCAGGAGGCCATGCTGCCCGCACGCAGCTGCGAGGCCAACGGGCTCATGCAGACCAGCAAGCTGTGAACGTGGAGGCCGCGGGAGGGGACCCCGGGAGAGGCCGTCCTGGGTGTGTGGAGGGGGGGCAGGTGAGGGTACAGGAACCCACTGCCACCTCTTCTGCTTTCCTTCCCGGAGAAGGAGGGGGACTGGAGCAGAAGAGGAGAAATAGCCAGACAGCAGTGGGGGGAGCGGCCTCCCAAGGCAAATAGCAGACTGGAGAGGCCAGGCCTAGTGGGGCGTATGCAGGTGCCAGGCCCTGGAGGAATTCGGCTTCCTGTCCTCTCCACCCCCCAAGAAATGCGCTCCTCCCACCCCCCAGGCCCGAAAACGGGTCCCAGAGAAGATGCCTTGGCAGCCTCACTGGGAAAGGCCTTGGGCTCCCTGGTGCTTGGGCCTCTTTGCGAGGCTGGAAGGAGAAGAGCCAGAATGTGGGGGTCACTCACCCGCAGGCCCCCATCTGAGACAGCCCTGCCCAGTGCCGCCCCCAACTCAGTTGTCCTCAGTTGTCCCAGAGCAGGATGCCGACACCAGGAGGGTGCGGGGAGCAGGCAGAGCCGTGCTGGGCAAGGGAAAGCCTGGGTCAGCGCTACCTGGGCCTCGGCACGGACCCCAGACAGAGGCCAAGCCCTGGAAACGAGATCACATAATGAGGGCGCTTGTGTTTGACAACCGCTCCCTGAATAAATTAGAGAATAAATGTTTGACTCTTTC